CGACTGGGTTTGGAAAAAGTTTAATTTTCCGAGCTCTAGTGTTGCTTGCACGCTTCGAGGCCAACGACGATAAACGGCCCGTTGTGTTGGTTATAACTCCACTTACAGGCATCGTACAGAATCAAATACTGGAGCTTAAATCTCTTGTTTTAACTGGTTGTAATGTAACCGAAGTTCTCGATAATTTGGATTCATTATCACAAGTTGATCTGGTATACGCTTCGGCCGAGAGTGCAATCGATGAACGTTTCACGAACTTCCTTAAAGAGAAAGATAAGGGTTTGTGTCAAGAACAGTTGCTCTGATAGTTGATGAATCACACACGATTCAAACTTGGACTGGCCTGGCCTGAGGTAAGGAAAAGTAAAATTCGAATACTTGATGTGCATGATATGATCAATGCGAGCGGAATTCCGAGCTGCTCGCGAAGCAACTTTTGTGTTCTGTTTACTAAATAACACGACTAATATATTGAAACCTACGTTTTCTTTCAAAATAAAAGCAAAGACACGAACAGTAAGAAAACCATTGCATTCCGTTCAGCATATGGCAAGCTGTCTTCTTTAAGATCTTTTTTTGGGAAAGGTAGGTTGTTTGTCTTATATTCAATATACAATTTACAGAATTTCACCATATTTTATATTATTTTCAGACATCCCTTTTGCAGCAATAACTGGAACGGCTGATGACGAGACTAGGGAGATTATTTCCTCACCCTTGTGTCTGCAAGAGAGAGATTTGGCTGTTTTGTGAAGTGAAATCCAAGATCTCGAAGGTGGTCCGCGATAACATATTGGAATTCTTCTCTCTGACTTGCTTTAATAATATCAATAAAGCTTTTGAACCCAGTTCCTAACTTGATTCTTAAGTTATCTGCACAAAAGCGGCAAATTGACGGATACATACATACATACATTGGTTACATACATTGGCTAATTGACCACTCCCCATAGGGGCTTTTCAGTGCCAACACCCACCCATTCCACCCAGGGGAGGACATCCACCACACAGTAATTTCTTACAGTTTATTCGTCTTTATCCAAAGACTAGAATATCTATACATTTCTTGATTATAGAAAGGTAGCAGGTTCTCCTCACTTATTTTAAGACCATGAGTATTGGTCCGACCGGGACTCGAACCCTCGACCTCCCTCACAACACAATCCTGCGCTCTAACCAATTGAGCTAACCGGGAGGCGGTTAGCTCAATTGGAATATCTATATTAGGAATATCTATATTAGGTTTTCTACCCCATAGGTTTATCTTTGAAATTTTCCTAGTTGTCTGACATTTTCATCCACGTGTAGCAGAGTTTTGACAGCTTGCATGAGTCAGTGCTCTGCTATTTTTAGTATTTTCCATGCTTCACTGGCGTACGTCTTAAAATGGTGCTTCGTGATTGGATAGTTTTGACAGTTATTGATTGATATTCGGAACACGATACGCGTAGTTAATCGGTGGGAGTTTCGAAGAATCCACGGGGTGGCTGGCAGGGCCTTCCTTTCCTCTCCCCAACCCTCTCTCCGCTCTGCTCCCCACCCCCTTCCCCCCTCCCGCTAGGGCCACCACGCAGGCTACATTCGTTACGGTGGCCAATTTACAATTTCATCGTAGTCGATATATCATTATACTCTCTGTTTGTGTCAACTAAACAGACTTTAAAGCTACATTTACAAACCTTGGTGCAAGCGGAAGATTTGGTCCAACATCTCTTGGAGGTCACTACACAGGTCAGGATCACGACGGACAGGTTGCACTGTCCGGTGGTATTCAACAGTGGACCGTGCGGCACACTGGTGACTATAGAATAATAGCTATAGGAGCTGCAGGAGGGTACGATAGAGCCAGAAACAGTGCTCTGTACCGAGGAAGAGGAGCAAGAATGATTGGAATATTCAGTTTAAACCAGGGTGAGGTCATTCAGATACTAATCGGTCAAGAAGGAGGAATAAACAAGAATCAACGGTCTTCTGGCGGTGGTGGAGGCACATTTGTAGTGAGGGGAGCAAACAAATCTTTGATTATAGCCGGGGGTGGAGGAGGCATAGAGAGTGCAAGTTCAAGGCATTCAGGATGTGATGCTAGATCAGGTTCATCGGGAAATCCTGGTTACAAATCGTGGTCGGGGGGGAGCAATGGACATGGTGCACAAACGGCTGATTCTGCCAATTCTGGTAAGTGGTTTGTCTCGATATGTCATCTCCTGTTTCCAAAGCAAAAACTCCATTCGAAAATCAATTAATTATTGCCTGAGAAAAAAGCCTGAAAGTAAAACTCATTGAAGTCAAAATAAATGAGTTTATGTATGATTTTCCTTTTTAAAGCGCTAACCAATTAATGACGCTTGCCATATGAATTTCCCATGAGCACTGATTAAGTTGTTACAACATTAGGCTGAGATTGACCTATATTTAATGACTAAGTAGTTTATGTATTATCAATCTCTGCAAATCTTTGTCGCACGAATGTAACTTGTAATCTAGTCAGACATTGATGAAAAATTTCACTAATGTCTAAGTCTAATGTGCAGGTTGAGAATCGACTGCATACAACTACTTTTCTTATTGTTATCATCGTTAACAGGTGGCGGCGGAGGAGGTTTCTACTCCAGCGGGAGAAGCTCAAAGCAGTTTGGCGGTACCATGGGAACAGGTGGAGAGGGTGGAAAAGGATTTCTCCAGGGAGGGGTGGGAGGTAGAGCTAAGGTTAACAATGCTGTTGGTGGATTTGGTGGAGGTGCAGGAGCTTATGGAAATGGAGGAGGTGGGGGAGGAGGAGGAGGGTACTCTGGAGGAAGCAGTGGAGAGAATAAGTATGATTCTTGTGGAGGTGGTGGAGGATCTTACAATGCTGGTAAAAATCAACAAAACGAATGTTGCTATCGATCATCTGGCCATGGTCAGGTGATCATAACCTTACTGTGAAAAGAAAAAAAGAAAAAACAAACACTATCCATGGACCGTTAAGAAAAACCCTCAGCGTTGACTAATTAAACAGTTCAAACAGTAGAGTATGTAAATATTAGCTGGCAAGACCCAAAAGTATAGAACATATGATCATAGTGTGGTTTTGCATATAAAATAAATATCTTTTCAGGCATCGATAAACCCTTAACGACTGATTCCATGTTAAACAGCCCTTTCCTAAGACGGAGCCAAGGGGAAAATTACCTGTTTCTCGAGGGAACATTCGTAAAAGGATTAGTATAGATTTTTGATAGGAGACGTTTTCCTCTCTGGATGTCATGCGGCCCCTAAGTAACCCGTCAGAGCTTGGTTTAACTAGATAACATATTGTATTTCTTTTTTCTAAATTTTCAGCCAAATATTGAGATAACAATATTTTGTAAGAGTAAGCCATCAGAACGACCATTTGATTTTAGATAGCCATACTAGAGGGTTTTCATACAAGGCTTTTAAAAATATCATAAAGGCCAAGCGGCCTGTGTATTTCATTTAAAGTCAAATAAGAAGTCAAGTGGTTCTTTCCCGTCGATGTTTTCATTTAACGATATTTCATCTGAAGAGTGCAGTTTTCAAACTCTAGATGAGCTTGCCTGTGGTTCTAGTAGTATTCAGTTTGTTATTTTACTTAATTAAGCTGAAAGTATTTAGCTTGTGAATGATCAACTCTTGCATCGCCCTTTTTAATTTATTTCTTCTAGCAAGTCTACAATTCTTAAGGTCAGAGGACACAGGAACGTACCTGTTACATTTATCCAATTATATTTTTTCCCGAAATAGAGGAAAGAAAATAAGAAAGGAGTTGTGGAGTCTTTAAAAAAAAACGCTGCTAGTCAAGAAACAAACCAGTAAATTAGGGTTTATGCAGGTCTCAATTTCTCCTTGTTCTTCGTGTATGTGTTTGATTCGGGTTAGAATCGCATCCTCGAATAAAATCTCGCATTCTGATTGGTTAACGAAGCGAGGTATTTAGCGCGGAATTGCGAGTTAAAAACGAGGCTATGTGATATTGTTTCGCATCTACGTAAGCATAACAATTTTAAGTAATACTGTTTCCTTTATTTCTCATTTTTATTCAGCTATGGGATTCAAGGAAAATCCATTACTTCACTCCTGAATTCCGCATAAAACTGCACTTGAAAACCGATATCGGTTTTCGCGTGCAGTTTAATGCCGAATTCCCTTGTCTAGTAATGAATTTTCCTATAGTAATATGATCTTTCAACAGAATACACTAAAGTTTTGAACAGTCAGTTTGCTCACTTTAATCGGGCGTCCTGGGTCAAGTAAGACTAGCCCACCCTTTTTTTTTCGTTTAGTGTTGAAGGTGTTTCCTAATATTGGGCCAATCGGTCGGATTGAAAAAGAAAATTAAAAAAACCACGAGAAGTCTCTGAACAGGGAGCCAGAAGTTGGCAGAACTTAATACTTTTATTTTTTTTATATTTGGATTGACAAAATGCACAATATACGGTAAAAGTAATCCTGATTTTGTTCCTGTTCTTCTTTGTGCTGTTACTATGCTTATTTTCAAAATAAAAGAATCATTTAAAGGGGAATTGGTTTGATATTACTTTACCGTTACTTTTTCTTTTCTTTTTTTCTTGGAAAATGTCAAAAATTTTGGGTCGGTCGGCCAACACTAAACGGAGAATAAAAAGAGGATGGCCTAACTGATATCAATCTAATACATTCGGCTATTTAGCCGAATGCATTAAACTGCATTAAAAGCCTTATGGCTTGTTCACAGGCAGCGCCAGCTGAGAGCCATTCTTATCGGCTCAACCAAATTGATTATGGGCATCTAGCGGTCCAGGCGAGGCGTAGAGGGGGAAGGGTGGAAGGGAGAGGGGAAGGAGGACCAAGTGCGTCACTCGATTGTCTCGATACAAGATTATTGTGTGGCTTACACAAAGCGTGTAGCCACATTATGGCATGATCTGACTTATTTATTCATTTATTTATTAATTTATTTCTCCACGAGAGTCAAGCGCCTGTCACGTGGTCTAGTGTCGAACGTCGCACTAATCTGAGTCAGCCATCTTGGTTGCAAGCGTGTTCTCGAGTAATTTTTTTTTTGATGATCGTATCAAAAGTTAGTGCTCCTCCCACAAACCAACACACCCAGACCTGGCTTGTGTTATAACTGCAGCTTGTGCAAGAGCTTTTACGCTCTTTAGATACAGCATTTGACCGCTTGAATCCTCTATAAGGGTTGTACTACACTGAAAGAAGTCATAGCATTCTCGCAAGCCAACAACTATCGGTTTGATCTATTGGCGCGGGTTGCAACACTAAGTGTCGGAAAGTGTTTAAAAGTGTCTAAAGCCACCTGAAAGTACCATAAAGTGAAATTAAGTTGCATCGTAGTTGTATTCATGGAGGCATATTTCAGAATGACACAACTAAGTATGGGAATCGCGATTGAACAACATCGGTAAAGGATTGGTTCTCATGACAGTTTCGTAAAAAGAAAGAATATCTTATCATATTTTAAGGATCATTTTTGGAGTTTAATGCTTATGATGTTTTATTTAAATGTATTTTACTTGCTAGTATTAAAACAAGTTGTTGGACAACACAAAATGTGAAACGATGTGATGTTTGGTTTTCGCAAATGATTTTCTACAAAGCCTATTTTCCATTGCTTATAGGAGCCTAGTAGTTTAATGTTACAACTGAAATGTGATTAGTATTATATTTTCCAAGTAATGCCCAGAATTATTCAGACCTTAACATTTCATGACTTCCTGTAAGCACTGCAGTCTTCTATAAAGTTCTCTTCATAATGGCTCAGATAAGCAATGATATTCAAACTTGGTAGCAATACATGTGTATTAGGCCTTTATTTGGTAGACTGCAACTCTTTTTTCGGTTACTTGTTTGGTTTTGGTTATTTCATCACAATACTGATATACGTGAAAAACTACGCTCTTTATTGGCTGAAAACAGGTAGGTGCCTTTTTCATGTATCATTAATGCAAAACTAATAACTTAAGTACAAATGTAAACTACTGGTGGGCTGAGCATCAATAAATCCTACTAGAAACCAACTAGATTTACACGAAGTAGGTTGTGCCGATTGATAAACATAGTAACTGACCAAAATAAACAAAAGCTTGGATATTTTTTTATGTATGTTGATAAACACTAACAGAATTGCATTCCTGATTTCAGCTGAAGGACAAATTTTGATAGCATGTCAAGTTGACCATTTACATGATGATGTCAAGTTCACCTATTCATTTCATGTCTCCACATAGCTTGAATTTGGGAAACACACTGGCATCTCATAATAATTATAAGAAAACTTGGAATATTCCGGTGCTTTAAATCACATGATACTATCATGCACTTGCCTGTACATTGAACTCTGTTGTGTTTAAGTGATATCTCGGATTATTGTTCCTGAAATCTATTATGGTGACACTTTATCTCTATTGAACTTTCTGTTAAATAAAGCCTCTAGGTCAATTGTAAATCTTAGTGGGTTAACAATTATTAGCAATGTTAAAATAATGTTACTACAGAGTACTGCTCAACATGATTCATTAAAATATTGCTTGTGTTGTGATCCTTTTAGGTACCTACCTTTTTTCCACAAGTTCTTCCATTTACAACCCCATATCCACCTTACTCAACTAAATTCTTATGCGTTCTTTATCAGTTGAAAATAAAGTCCCACAAAACCCAAATATAATACTTATAGTAAATGATTTGCTCTAAACCAACTGAGAGTAGAACTTTGTGCTGAAATGGACAATAGAAACCTACACTCAGCATTGTGTCACTTTACACGTGTGTTTTGTCTAAAAATTAGTCGTACATTCAAACCAAATCAAGTTCCCAATGGCTTCTGCTGTAGATGACATCATTTCCCTAATGTTCCGGCCCTTCTGGAAAGTTTTGTGTTTGTTCCTCATGCACTGGTACGTAAAATGCTAAAAGATATTCATATGAAATGCTTCCTTAGATTTAATTTCATATCAAGAAAAATAAATGTGAAAATTGTGAGTTATGTAAAACTTAATTTTATCAATTTTATATTTTTTGTATATAGTTTTTCATCTTATTATTATTATAATTATTAGTTAAGCTTACGTAGTAGGTGTCCCCAATTAGCTTTTTACTTGTAAAAACTAGAACGATTGACACGTTAATAAAGTTATTCATTCATTCATTCATTTACTTGCCTTGGAAAAGACAACCAACCTACAAACTTCAGAACACAATTGCACTTCGTTACATAAACAAAATCATGGCTAAATCTATCAGGCCGCCATGGGAGATGATGCTGACGTTTTTTTTAGTTCCCAAAATCCTCAGGTTACACATGAATCCTTGGGGTGTTTATTGTCAAAATGAGACCTCAATTACAAAGTTTGGCCATTACCTAACCCTCGTCTTGAAAATGAACATTTCAAGACTATTGTATGCTAGTTACCTTGTTTTATCGATGAACAGGAACAATACTGGAAAATATCTGACTGTAATCAGATATTAGCTCTTCTAATAGAAACTCATTAAGACACCAGACACTAAAAAACAGTTCAATTTCGAAAGCCACGCACGTACGTATTACGGACCTATTTTAGTTATTAGTCGCAATCGGTAAAAAAGTGATCAAAAGCTCTAAAAACGGCTACAGAACAGAGCAATCAAGACATCAGTATCGATGCTTCATGACATCAAAGCGTGAACATGAAGGATGAAATAGTAGCCAGAATTCCTAAGCACCTAAAATAAAAAGCACAGTTTTGTTTTGTTTTTTTTTTTTTTTCATAGCAACAGGACAGGACGGAAACGCATGCCCTGTATCTCCCGTTGTCCCATACAAAACCTTACAAAAGTTTTCTAAGGCTTTGAATGGGACAAAAGGAGGTACTTACAGTGCACGGATTTTCCGTCTTGTCATGAACTGCTCCAGTGGAAATTCTTCTGCGTGATGTAACGAAAGCAGAAGTATATCTGAGATCACGTATGATGTAGATAAGCCTCAGCCAGAAAGGAAGTTATCAAATGGAGATGAAAGAAGTAATTTCCACTCTTGCTTAAGAAACATTCCTCAGCGATTCAGTTTACTCGTACATCAATTATTAATACTTTTGACATTGTGACAGCTCCAAAAAGAACATATCTGGCAAATAAGTTCACGTGACGGGACCTTTTCGGCTTCCAAGTTTTGACTGTTTACTCCGTTTAACACGCGAGATACTAATAACATGATAGTCTTAACAATCAAATGCCAAATGTGGGCATGACAAACAAAACGTGTAACTCAGTTAATACATTTTTGTCTAGTTGATACATAAAAATATGGAATTGTTTTTACCTCAACCTAGAATACAAGAGATTTATCCTAATCAAAATTCCCTCATGTCGAGGGCCTCGTCACGGGAAGGCTAAGAGATGTTCACAAACCTTAACTGCTCATAGAATCACCGGATTTTTTACTTTATTTGGGTACACTTAAAGAACATTTCGACGGCATTACAGCCCCGTCTACTACTGTCATTTGTATTTTGGTTCGACCGGATCTCTCAAATAACCTATACTTCAACCAAAACCGCTTTATACGTATCCGAAGCTTACCAGTGTTGAGTGAGCTTTTGAAACACTACTATAAATGTTCTCAGATCAGGTGAAAGGTCATAAGCTATAGCTAGGGTGGCTGTTGTTATTGATGTGTGCATATGAAACAGCCAAAATCGCTTCGGCAGACACGTTCAAAGGATAATATTTCTATCATGACATCATACGATAAGCAAAATTATCCCAATGAAGGGGGGATGGGGTCGCGTTTGTCTGATGCAAGATCATGACTTTTTAATCACAATCAATTTCAAGCGAAATAGTGATTCAAAATAGCT